TTGTGGGGTTTTTTATATAGGACTACAAACCAGTACTTGTTGACAAATTGCTACTTATTTTTGGCACACATTGGCAAACATGAAAATATTTTGAAGGATCAAGGCCAGTGTCTCTTGGCTGCACACAAAGGTTGCATGAGTTTCATCAGCTACTGTCACCAGCAAAAAGATTCTGGGATGCAGTATTATTCAGGTATATGACACCATAAAGTTAAAAAAACAAATAATTTTGAGAAAGTCTCTGAATAGACTGATTTTATTTGTAGTCATTTTAAAGATACATATTTTTGATGGCAGAGAGTCCAGTTTTGCTCTGAAATACAGCTTATAGTGAAATCAGCTTACTTTGTTCACAAGCTGTTCCTAAATATGACTATGTGGAAAAGTAAAAATCTCATGAATTCCTAAGTCATCTAGAGCAACTCATCTCTAAGAAGATAAGTATTCCCCATTGCCCTTCTGTTACTTCCCTCCCCCTCATAGTTTTTATCTTTTTTTACTCTTCGATCTTTATCACTGGAGTCTGTTGCCTCACAGATCAAAGACAATCTAGGAAAAATGCATTTCAGCTATTCATGAAAATAATTTTCACCTATTAAACTATTAAGTTAACAAATGCTTCAAAACAAAAAAGAGAGCTATCCTATCACTATTCAGGGGGAAAGCTGTGTAAGTCTTATATGTAGCCTTTAATACTTTATGCATATACTTTCATTTAAAGAGTACCTACAGAAGAATTACAGGTGTTCTTTGAAGAGTATAAAGTGTGTCTCTGTGAGAAAGGGTGGATAATGGAACCAAAAGAATTCCCACCTCCCTCCAGAACTGCTTTACATCTAAATTTACAATTTACAATCAGTACTAAGAAAATATTTCTAACAAGATTTCTTAAAATTAACTACCATAGGAGGCAACCATTTAACTTTTTTCTCTACACTGGAATATCTGTCTCATGTCACAAATATTATAGGCATGAAATAAAATGGCAATGTCTTTCTTTTGCATATTACTTTCATGAACTGAACACCTGCTACAAAATTAATTTCTGGTCTTGAGATGAGGAGATGCATGCATATGCCTATATGAAAAGCATGTGGGAAAGCACATAAAAAACCCCAACATGAAACAATTTAATTCCTTTTTGCGGTTGACTTGTAAATCCTAGCAAACCAAGTATTTTTTTAGAAATCTGCTAATGAGTGGTCTTCTCACTCATTGAGTCTTCCTCTAGAATAATAATCCTTCACTACATCATGTATTTCCTTTCTAATGACAGAATACTGCAATCAAAAAGACCATTTCTTACCATAAGACACTACTGCTGACATAAAACTATCTACAGGCACACCATGCAAACTTTCCCTAATCAGTCATAAATTGCTTGTTACTCTTGAGAAAAATTTCCATACTGTAAACAAAATTGTATTTTGTCATGAATGTCATTAACTAGAAATAAAGAAATGTTAAGGTTGCTGCTTTTCAATTTCTTTTGAATGCAACTGCTTTAATTTCCAACCAGACGATGTTCTTCAAAACCAGTGTTGCCTGATATGCTCACCAGGCCCTATGCACACGAAATCATTTGGCTTAGAAGACCTCTCTTTTAGGCACAGCATACTACTACAGTGGGTGAGGAGCACGGCTGAAATCTGACAGTGCATTTTTGCAAGTTTGAAAAGCTTCTTGCTTACAGGACTAAATAACTCTGATGAGAATAGAAGTCTAGAGAAAGTCAAAACAGTGACACCTTCTTAGAAATGTGTTGCAATTTCCACATTTACTGTCTTCGTCAGTTCCAGAAGTATTTTAAAACCAGCAGGTACTGAAAATGAAGTGACATTGCTTTAACCGGTATAGAGGAATGACAAGAATGCAGATGGTAGTACATCCATTTAGGCATTCACTCAGGTGTTCCTCCTCTGAAAGCTTCTCTTACTGAAGCATTGGTCCTGAAGATCCTGATAGAAGGTGACAGAAGATGTATCTACCTTCTAGAAGCGTTTTCAGCGGAGAAACCCGTGATGGTATCTTAATAGGGCTACCTGTTGAGTGCTCTCACTTTGGAAACCTAAGCACCTATGACAAAAATCTAGGCATGGTAAGTTACATGACACTTCATTTCACACTGATAGAGATGCTGAGGAACTGTAGTGGTGATTGGTTCCACACAATTCTTCCTAACCTTGGTATAATGCATGAGGGTAGTTAGGGTACATGCTATCACTTCTGCCATAAATACTCCTCCCTCATCCATATGCCTATAAGATGCCACACATCACTTAATTTTGGCAAGTGAGATCCACTGCTTCAGTTATACCCAACACTGATGATATTCAAGGAAATAGGCACACGTATGTACAGGCAATATTCTAGACACATAAAGTCTCATAGTACATATATACACAGAGTGAGATCACACTCATATGCAAAAATAAATACATTCTAAACACTCCAGAGTGGACACATTATAAACATATGTTAAAATTTGTGTAGTACTGCAATACAGACAAATAAATTCTCACAGATGAAATACAGGATATTTGAAAATTACTAATACATTTAGAAACATGCGCTTCATTAATCTTCGAATGATACTTTTCCATCGACAGATATATTAAGGCTTGCAGAATTTTTCCTGTTCCATAAACTCAGAGATACAGCCTCTGCTTACAATGATGTTCTACCTAAGATGTAATTACATGAATTAACAAAATAATAAATCAGTTTTCCTCATAAGTCATTTTGAGCTGTAGAAGAGGTTAATCTACCACCTTTCGTATGCAGACACTATCTAAGAGACTTCTTTTTATTTGCCACAGAAATTATTGCTCTCTGTCTGATAAAGTACCCTCCTTTGCCATTTAAGCAAGCAGTTTACTTTGTAAGGACTATCAGAAAACATGAATATTACAATTCCTATAAATATCATTCAGCAACCCATCAAGTTAAATCAGATTTTAGAAATGGAGCTATTCTTTTTGCATATTCCATCAAATTAACCCCCTTAAGATTTCATGTTTAAATAGAGGAGGGATAGGTGTGAGGCAAAATAACAGAACTATTGTGCATGGAATAAGATTATGTTCTCTCTGAAAGTAACATTCCAATAAGCTCATTTGCCTTCTATTTCTCCTCTCTCCTCTTTCTACTCAAATCTGCTGGGAAAATCTTTCAGAAGTTAAAACTACTCCCTATATTTACTGAAGGACACTTAGTCTCCCAGTTTTTCAGCTGCCATTTAAAATATGTATATGCAAAATAATACTTTTTCATATTCAGTATACGTTTGTCCATTATACTCACTGCTAGTGTGTCTTAGCATCTTCCAGCAGTGCCTTGTTTCATACGAATAACACCTTTTGTACTGCAGCTTAAGAAGTTCATTATCTAAGGTGTGAGAGGTGGGCTGACCTAAGTCACATCATCAAAAACCCATTACCCGAACAAGACAACAGCTACCAGGAACAAGTAAAGGAAGGGATTTTTCCCCAACACTTTAAATAGCTCTGACTTAGAATAATACAATCCTTCCTCCACACTTATTTGCTGGCACAACTGAGACTAATGAGTAACCCATCCTTTGCTGTTTCCAGGATCTCAAGCACTTAAACACCAGCTGAGTAAGAAAAAGCTGAAAATTCAGAAGTTGTCTCCTTAGGAGGTTCAGATAAAACCACATTCCTGTGTGTTAAGTTCCTAGAAGTAAAATTATTTCTTATTTTCCAACATTCCATTTTTCTTTGTTCATTGAACTCAGTTTAGACAATGAAGCCAGAAATATGAGCTTTCTTTATCTTCAACATTAGCAAAATGTCAGTGGGATGGGATTCCCTATATTAAAAGAACAAGATTGTGGTTTAGGGTCTGTAATTTTTTAAAGAGTTTTGGAGCAGTACTCTGAACATCATGGAAATACTAGGCAACGCTAATAAATTTTGAAAACCTTCTTTCTTTCTGTCCAAGACCAAAGTCTGAACATTGGATCTATCCTAGTAAATCATGTTCCCCTTGAAAATTCAGGATAAGGGAGTCCGTGCATCTTGAAGGAGAAAAAAAAAATTTTGATCACAATGGTGTGATAACTTTGACTGATGCAGATACAGGCAGTCAATGTTTTTCCTTGCAGTGCATTTGATTCTAATTGAGGAGGAATAAATTCTCACCACTTTACACACTGCAAAGTCATGTCTACATCAGATATTATGCAATCACTTCCCTTTACAAGATTTTAAAACTACTCTTAATTCTCTTTGCACAGCTGAAAATGACTATATATGAAACAGCACAATGGGTTAAGCAATCACAGTGAGCAAGCAATATGTCAGACTGACCTACTAATAGTCAAACAAAGAATCAGCTACACAAACCATGCAATCAGATCTAAGCCAAATTCCCACCCAGTACCCATCTTTCACCCCACTGAAAAACAAAACTGACACAAATTGCTGATGTACTTTCCACGAGTGGACTTGGTTAAAGTGAGTTTTGTTATAATGAACATTACATTGGAGGCAAACTTCAGAACTTATTGTTGTCATTACTCAAAATCAAAGAGCTTGTAATGATTTTGAGTACCAATGACTTTATACTATTGCCTTAAGACTACTGAAAAATACGGATGTGCTTTTGATCTCAAAAGCAGACAGACACTATGTTTATTTTTGTTATGAAAATATAACTCAATGTTCACCAGAGTTTTGTTACCAGAAGAGTCCTGCATCTCTCTTCTGGTAACAAAACAGAAATGTGTTGAATTACACAAGTTTCTGGCATTAAAAATCCTGCTGAAATCAACTTAGGCTGAAGGTAAACTGTACTGGTAGAAATTACTAAAATTCTATTTTAGATTTGTAAATATGGATCTAACAACTTTACTTTAGACAATTTCCCCTCTCCCCCATAATACACTTCAAAATAAGAAATGGTATGGCTTTTTAATGTAACTTTTCTGTAATTTTTCAAACAAAGAAATTCAGTGTTGAAATGCAATAATACTGTACCTTGATTTCTTCTATTTCGTCTGGCACTATCTTGTATGCAGATATAGTCCCACCCAACCTGAAATAAGGAGAAGAAAAATGTTCTCAAAATCAGTAACAGAAAATGCAATGTATTAATGGTGTCATGACTTGTTCCAAAACACAAATAATCCTTCTACCAATTTAGAGGCAAAACCCACTAAGCCCCAAATCAAGAACAACCCCCCCCCCCCTTTATCCAACAAAACCCCTTTATGTTATTAACATAAACATTAGAAAGAAGGTGTCCTTCAACCTTTATAATTAGGTTGACCAAGCAGAATTACCACCACCAGGATGGTATTCTTTATATTAACAGCCATCAATCATCATATTCTATGATTTCTTGTTTGTGGCCTAAGGCATATGGATGAGTTTAAATATTTGAAGCCTGATGTGCTTTTTGCTCAGTATTTCACTAAGCTACTATATAGTCTTAAAAGTATCCAAATACAATTCTAGAAATTGAATTTTTTAAATTAAATGTGCATGTACAGACCTCACAAATCACACAGGCTCTATGGCCTCCATGTTTGAAAAGTCTCTGCAGTTCATGACTGGTAATAAAAAGTGGGTGATGTGCAATAGCTGGCACTGATGGAGAAAAATAGGAGGTTTTGTTCCACACTGAACTCATTGAAATTACTTTTTTAAATCCTGCAAAAATCCTGGTAAAGAATAGTTTACATACAGAAGATGCATGAACAGCATGTATTATAAATAGTGATAAATATTACATTTTGCCCAGACACATGCAGATATGGTTTCTTTCATTTCATGAAGCAGTATTATTGATAGTGACAATTCAGACCTAAAAATGTAATTGCAATTAATGACCTCCTGCTGGCTCTGTACAACAACACTACTCTTCTGAGTCCTACAGAAATGGAAATCACATAAGAAACTATTTATTGTAAAGCAGTAGACAGCTATCAAATGCACATTTGTATTATTCTCCCTATTACTGGGACTTTTTCTTCCAATTGTCAGCGTTTCTACACAGATCTATTTCCTTATATCTTGAAATTATTACACATACTATTTACTCAACTGAAAAAGGGGAGAAGAGAGTAATACAGAAAATCCATTAGATTTTCTTCATAAGTCCTGCCTTTCCATATCTCTACAAGTCACTCATAAACAAACTGTTGAAGGTTTTAGACAGAAGATAAAGTCTGAAGTCCATCACTGCTCCAAGTAACATCAAATATGATTTCTGAGTACAGACAGGGTTCAGATATTACAGCATTCAAATTCATCGTGAACGATGAGTATACTAATTGCTTTCTCCTCTGCACATTCCATTGCTGCCAGTCATTAAGTGAGCTTAAAAGTTGGAGAGAACTGAAACTTTTCTTTGCCAGTGCAAGTACAAACATGAGCTTTTATTTTTCATGACCTTCATTCAACCGGTGTTTCTAGGGATAGCTACAAGAAATTGGTTTTAACATCATGACGAAGGATTACTTCATCAAACTGTGACATGAGATGGCTCAGATGAATGTATGTTAACATTGCACATGACCAGCCCTATTGCTGCTGGAATGAGGACCATAAGATACAAATTTTTATTGAGTTCTTTCAGATCCATTCCTGCCTGCGCTACGGAGTACTCAAAAAAATAACTTCATTGACTTTCTACCCTCTAGCAGAAGGGAAGGATAGAGCCTCTACTGCCAGTACTCCAGCAACAAGGAATTCCACCTGGCAGATTTCATTACTGGCCACCCTCAACAGAACTATTAAGCACTTTCTTGGAATATATTCGAGAAAAAAAAAATCAAAATAATTGACTCAGTAAACTCATCTGGCTTGCTTAAACCATTAGTTAATATCACTTTATGCAAATACTTTTGTAAAGTTTTGTGTCAAGAGTTTAACACACTTTGAATCTGCTAAGTTGCAGTCCACAATTACACATTTTTAAAAGAGAAAGATATATTAAAAGTTACGTTACTGTTTAAATAAAATCTCTCACTGATAGTTCCAGCTCAGGTATCTCTTAATATGTTTACAATCCTACACTGACATATTTAGCTCAAAAATCCAGACCACAAACATAAATAATAACAAACTTGAAGCTGAAAGAGAATCATAGACACAATAATTTACAATTTTATAAATGCCTAAGAGTTGAAATGAAGTTTTTAAGGAAGTCTATATTTTCTTCATTTCAGAACATTAGATTTCATTCTATCTTATAACTTCCAAAAGAGAGATCCACCACAGATTATAGTACCAGATTTAACGGGCAAAGGACATAATAAACACATTTGACTTTGTGTATAAAGTTTAGCTGTGAGTTTCACAGAAGTTTAAAGTCATCACACACTCTGGGAGGATGCAGTTAACACAGTCTGAACTCTTCTTCTGGTCATAAGTGTGATATATAAGAAATAGAATTTTTGTTTTTACTATGCAATAATGTATCTATAAGAAAAAAAGGATTTAATCTGCTTGTTTGGTAGCCTGTGAGTAATGAACATGAACATACAGATACAATTTAAAAACATTATGCTTTTTTGGCTGATAAAATGTTTTGATTACCTTCGATGTCATGCAAAAACTATTATGCTATACAATTTACTCGCAAAGCAAACTAAAGAGGCAGAATCTGCTGTGAAACATGGTGCATACTCTTCACTCAAAGACCATAAACACCAGCTTATTGCTACTTCAAAGCAAATACTCTGAGAAATTTGAAAGCATTTAGTTTGGTGTTACCACATCACTATTACAAATCTCCCACAGTCAAAGTGTAAGGGACTAGACAATGTCACACACACACAAGTTACTGAGAAAAACAAAACCACTGTGGTGAGTGGTAAGAAAAAACAGCAAATCAAGGCAAACAGAAAATCAATGCGTTAATTGATATGTCCAACTTGAAGAAAACTTTAAATTTCAAGTATTTCTCTGAATTGCATTTAAGTGTCAATATCACTTGTGGCCTGTCTGGAAGTTTATTTGTTATTTTGCAAATCCTTGATTTGATTCCTGACACCGTAAAGAACAGAGACCAGACAATTACACATAGGAGACTTCAGCTACAGGATGACACAGGCTCTGACAGAGGACTCGCACTTGGCATGTTTTTTCACTTCCTTGTGAACAACCTCTCTGTGCAGGCTGGTTTTTTTAGAACATTTTACACTAACATTTTTAATCACAGTGTTTCAAGAAGTAATTGCACTGCAATGAGAAAAGCAAAGGACCAGGTAGCATGAGGGAGTATACATTAACTACTATGGGCGTTGTACGCTAGAATATAATGCAGCAAAGAACATGTTAGAACGGCCAGAACTCAGATCACTACAGACTCAATTTTTGTGCAGATTCACTCATCTTTCACACATTTTAGTTTTATTACAGACTTTAATTATACTTCTCGCCAGCTGAACAACACAACACCCAGCATCCTCCAGTGTAAATGGCATTTCTCTCTGAAAATATACAACCAACCAAAAGCAAAGCTAAATATACAGCCAGCTACTTCCAGTACACTGAAAAGACAGTCACAAACTTCATCTAGAGAGACCTAATATGCAAAGTCTTTCTCTCTCAAACTGCAGTATTTTCACACTATAGCAGGCCACATTATTTAATAGTGAAATTATTTTAAATACTAGTTAGCTTTAATATTTTACATGTAAATGTAAGAGATAATCTCAAAGGTCCTGGAACTTATATTCAAATTCTGATAGACATCATCAGCTCTGTATCAGATCCTGCACATGTAATACAGACACCCCAGTTCTCCCTTTGCAGAAGACAAGTGAAATTATTACTAGATGTAGAAATTAGCACTGACACAATAATAATGAAGAACCACACCTTTAATGGGCTAAACTGGTGAAGGTCTTTGAGGAGAGAATCAGAAAAGGAAAGATAGAAATTTCATAAAAATAATCAGGAAATAATAAATATGACATAATTATTTGTGCAGGGGTTTTAAAAATAGTAGAAACTTTGTGTATCTTTTTACACTGGGTTCACAGAAAGTTCACAAAAAGGATTCAGGAGACTGTGAAAAACAAGGTTTCTATAGCAACCTAAGAAATTAGTAAAATACTGGAAATAAACTGAAGTAAGGCCAACACAGTTGTATTGGAACAGATGGAAGCTTTACTATTTCACAAATTAAAGCAGAACATCACTGAAGAGGGAAAAGTAACTCCATCCAAATTAAGGAAAGTTGAAAACCAGGAAGATCTGTGCTCAAATGGAGGCAAGAAAAAATGAACCACGTCTCAAATGAGAACTCAAGACAAAACTAAAAGAGAAATAAATTACAACTCTGCTACAACAGTAAACCATCCTTTATTTTAATAAGCTATCCTTTTATGACCTGTTTGCTGTTTAACACTCTATCTAAAACAGAAACTTAATTTCTCATTTTTAAAACATTAATTCTGGATATAAGGTCAAAATTATCACAGTGTTACTTTCCATATATTGCAAGTTGGACTTCTGATTGATTTTCCCCCGTGCCCCTGTATATATGCATGTTCAGATGGACTCACTGGATTATTACCGCACAGCTACATCTTGTGCAAGACACTTGCACACTTGGACTGAATCAATATGGGTCAGCTTTTATAATTTGAATTCTGACCAAAGATATGAACACAGTCTTTATATACAGTTCCATATTCACTGATTGCCAAAGGAAGCTCAGTTATTGCTTCATCTGTTGACTTAATAAATGATCATACCAAATGCAATGAAGTCAATTTTCTAAAAATAGCTTGTAGCCAGCTTGGCTGCTGTCATCTGCTGAAGTTCTCCAATGCCACTTTAATTAACATTAATCTTTCTTCAGATAGATCACTGTCTAAACAATATCAAGTTGTCACTAAATCTCCCAGTGAAACTCTCCTTCAACTTTTAATGGAAGCAAAACTCAAAATCCTCCAGTCGACATTTTTTTTCCAGATCCATCTCACAAATATATTTGTTATCTGCATCAGGATATTCTACCTTTTGACTGATTTATAAACCAAGCAGATTATTCAAGAGAGACTGTTCTTGGGAGCAGAT